CCCCACAGGGCCCCCCCCAAGGGACGCGGTCAAACGCCTTCTCCAAATCCACAAAACACGTAGACTGGTTGGGCAAATTCCCACGCACCCTCCAGGATCCCCCTAAGGGTATAAAGCTGGTCCAGTGTTCCACGGCCAGGACGAAAACCACATTGCTCCTGAATCTGATGTTCAACAATCCGATGGACCCTCCTCTCCAGAACCCCTGAATAGACCTTACCAGGAAGGCTCAGGAGTGTGATCCCGCTGTAGTTGGAACACACCCAGCGGTCCCCCTTTTTAAATAAGGGGACCACAATGCCGGTCTGCCAGTCCAGTGGGACTGCCCCCGATGTCCACGCTGTATTGCAGAGCCGCGTCAGCCAACACAGCCCCACAACATCCAGAGCCTTAAGGAACTCTGGGCGGATCTCATCCACCCCTGGAGCCTTGCCACAGAGGATCTTTTTAACCACCTCAGTGACCTCAGCACCAGAGATTTGAGAGGCCAACCCAAACTCCCCAGACTCTGCTTCCTCACTGGGAGACGTGTCGATGGGATTGAGGAGGTCTTCGAAGTGTTCTGCCCACCGATCCACAACGTCCTGAGTAGAGGTCAGCAGCACACCGTCCACACTATAGATAGTGTTGGTAGCGCACTGCTTTCCCCGAGGCGCCGGATGGTGGACCAGAATCTCCTCGAAGCCATACGGAAGTCTTGCTCCATGGTCTCACTGAACTCCTCCCATGCCCGGGTTTTTGCCTTGGCGACCACCCGAGCCGCGTTCCGCTTGGACAGTTTGAAGCACTGTTGTGTAAAATCAGGTTATGATGATCTGGGAGCATGAAGAGCAGGCCTGCTGTTGGAAAATGGAAAGTCTGACTCATTAAGTCACTGACATCCCTGTGAAGTCAAATAGCTGCAGATATGATTACAGTTCTTCTGGTTTATCTCCAAAGCGAACCTCCTAACACACAATCCCGTCTTGGATGGTCCTGGAGCGTGGGGTTCTAGGGTTTCCAGTAAGGAAGCAGTGCTCAGAGGCCACGGCTCTGATGAAGCGTTAATTTGACACGCCGACAAAGCCCACACACTCCATTCACACACCAACATGAAAAGGTGTCAGAGATGAAACCGGCTCACAGCGAGGGGTGTTACAATGATTGATGGGTGGATTGTGGCAGAGATGGACCAGTTTACTGCAGCAGACTCCGCAGCTCCAGATGAATATGTAGCATCATTCAGCTGGAGTTGTGAGGTGTAAATTTACCCAAACAGCTAATTTACAGCCTGGCTGTTGCAGTAGCATGTTTCACTCATCTTGGTTTTTTTCCCCTCCTGAGGCTCAGAAACCAGCTGAAAACTGCCCGTGTGGAGTGAGCCTGGAGCCGGAGGCGTGGTGGGCCCGGCTTTGGTGGACCGTTCCTGATCACTATCCGTACATCTCCTCCCTCCCTACTCTGTAAATCTACCAGAACCTATTAGGATCTCTATTTTCTGCAGCCTTATTACATGAAAATCTCCCAGTAATTACGAATGTTGCTAGTGTGCTGGGTGGATTGCTGTGCCATCGAGGCAAGCCTGCCGTGGTTTTGTTTACATTCGCTTCATGGTGGTTCGTGTTTTCTTGGCTGAGATCTTGACAGAGTTTGCAGCTGTTGTTAAACCGGATTTCCACCTTTCCTCCCTTCGCTGTCACCGCTCTGTGCTGGCAGCCACGTGAACCATCAATGTTTGGTTCAAAGGCTTCGTCAGGCTGCAGTCAGTGTGACATTTGTGCTGTTGAGTTGATGCTAAAGATCTCTAAATTCTCATTTCTATCCAGCGCTGCCGATTTCCTCAGTTAAGTGATTATAGATGTAAACTGGCTGTAATTGTCCTCCATCTACTGGAGGTCTGCCGGTGTTTCTGTCACCAGATTGAGGCCATCTGTCCTTCTCTTCCGGGGCAGCAGAGGTAGGACACGGAGACCGAGCCAGGGACGGTTTTATTTGCCCTGAAATGGGAAACGCTGCAGCAAAATGGTTTTTAGGTTCCAAGTGCAGTCCACCAGGCTTTGAATCGTGCACTCTGGTGTAGAGATTAAATATTGAAGCTTGAGTTGTAACGCTAAGTGTGTCTTCCTGCATCTCGTTTCACTAAAGCAGGGTTAATGCATTTGTTGTAGAAGCGTGGGAAAACCCTGAGGGACTCCAGCTGATTGGTTAGTTGCTGTTGCGTGGATCAGATGCATCGGTTGAAGTGGAAAAGTAAAGTTAAAGGGATCATTTTAAAGCACTTTTATCGAAGTTCCAGCTGCTGAATTTCCTTAGAAGCTTCTAACTAATTGATCCATATTCAATGTGCTGTTTAAGTTCAATTGGTATGTTTGCTAACTTTGCCTTGTGAATTGGTGCTACATAAATAAGGTGTAGAACTGTTTAAACAGTTTTTTGGCAAAGTGGTCTTTTTGAAACGTGAGCAGGTAGAACAGGGTATCCGCAGGTCCTTAAAAAGTCTTAAATTAGCGTTTCCAAATTTAAGGCCTTAAAAATCCTTAAAAATTACAAATAATCCTTAAATACAGTTTCCAAAGGTCTTAAATTTTCAAAGACCCAATAAACAAGATTCTTTTATTTCTATAAAATTTTTGTGAATTTCTAGTTAGTGTTCAGCATTTTTTGTTTGTGATGTTGGTAGGGCTGCAACTAACGATTATTTTCATAATCGATTAATCTGTCGATTATTTTTTTCGATTAACCGGTTTGTTATTGTTTAGCTATTTAACCTATACAAGTGATGAATGCATATCAGTTAAGAAAAAAAACAAAAGATAATTGTGCAGTTGACTGCAATCTATTTTATTGCACATGAACACAGTCAGCGGTATAAAATGAGCTAAACAGTGCAAAATATCAGTCCAGAATAATTTTTTAGCATTAGCTGGAAGCCTGCTCCTTCCACCATGGATAGTGGCCTCATGTCTTTTACCAGCATGTTTAGAATAGAGTTTGTAAGTGGTGTGCATTGCTGGGGGTGAGTGTCTTGTTCCCCATGTAGTTGTCCATCGTTGCTTGTTTTTTTCTGCATAAGAAACACAAATAGACTGAAATAAGTACACATATAAAATAAAGCAGCACACACACTATAACACTAAATCAATATTATATTATTTGAATTAATTAACAATATACAGTGTTCATTTATTTTGAG